AAATATCGTTGCCTAGTCTCAAATGAACCTTTTTAGACAAGTCCGGCGCAGTGACGTTATCTACCATTCGTGCTGCGTCCGTGTCAGTTCCGTATTTTTAATTAAAGTTGGCAACGATATTTTGTGTATTTCACTGATGAAAAACGATTGGAATTTGCGTTTGAATTTTTGAATATGGATTCGATGAAAAACTAATCGAGTTGGTACCGAATATGTGAACCAAATGATTTTGTTTCCAGTTGTTTTCGTGTTCCATACACTGATGCCTATTGTATATCATTGTTATCACTAATTTCTTTCGAATTTTAAATTTTTTAAAAAAAAATTAAATCCAAAATACGCTGAAGCGTTCGTTCTGTGTTTTGATCAAAAGTTTTTTCATATTAAAACAATTTTGAGACATTCTAAAATATCCAAACAAAATTGTTTCGTCGTCCACCAATTCCTTACATAGAGTAATAAATTCTCCTTCACTTTCTCGATTCATCCAAGCTTTACATACCCAATTCTTTGTTAGCATAAAAAACCATCTCTGAATTCTGATATTTCACTGAAAGCAAGGTACGGGCTACAGACGGATGTGTGTGAATTGTCACCACTGATGAAGCATGGATAGCACTGATACTGAACTGACGCGGCACTGATACGGAACTGATGTGTGTGGATAGTCCTTTATACTACGTATATCGCGGGTTGGTTTGAGTTCTTGAAGCAAACATTAGATATTAGAACGATGCCTTCTCTGTCTAAAGTGAACTTGTTTTTTCCAATGCGCATGCTTCAATTTGAAGTTATTCCTCCAATAAGATTTAATTTTAAACAGCTGATATTGCAGGGTTGCCAATAAAGTTATTTTCATCTTCGAGTTATTTGAACATTCACAAAAAACATGACGAATTTTGTATTTTGGTGTGTGACACATTTCAACAAATAAACCAATATATTCATTAGTATTAGTGTTTTGGAATCAAAATACAATCGACCAAATTATAACTCTAAAAAATGATCCTAATTCATTGTACTTTTTAGCTTGACATGACAACACGGCACGAAAAGCTTGTTGCAAAATGGCAACCGCCTGCCAATAAGAATCTAGAGTTTAACGCAAGCGCCGTTGGTGACCTTGTTCTACTTTAGATAGACTTATGCATGAAACAAAGTTTACCTCCAATTGCTTGTAAAGAAGTTTCAAATTTCAAATGCTTGTACACATCTTTCTGCTAACCAATTTTGAACTTGTATGATGTAAATACCGAAGCGTTATCACTTGTGATATCCTTGACAGCATGTATTTCAGGCCAGCTAGAATTCGCATCAATTGAGGTGTCTCGCAGAAATAGAAAAAGAGAGCTTAATTGTAATAAATACAAGTTAGAAAGTAATAAAAAATGACATGCGCGCGCAACTCATGGCTGCAGTGTAGCCAGATTGCATTGTTGCAGAACAAATGTGGACAATACAAATCGAATATTATAGCATTAAAGAAGTGATATATTGTCAAGTGTTTTACAACGCCTCAAATCAGACAAAAGAAGAGCTTTAAAGTGTATGTTAACATCGATGGCACTTTTATTTTGATAAATGTTTCATCCGGCAACATCGCATGAAAATATGTCAAGTATAATCTAACATAACCTTAAACGACACTGGGATAGGTTCAAGTAATACGTAAAGTATTAGTTTGCTCTTTGTCGAATTACACGTTACAAAGAAATAAGAAACGATTAATTCTGAACTCGTCCCTGAATACGAATACGACGCAAGCCCGTAACAAACTCGATTTTCATTGGACGCTCACCTGCAACCCACGAGTTGCGCGCGCACACCAGGTATTACGAGATACGTCAATTGAAATAAAACAGTAGGTAGTACTTACATTCAGCACATTTCCTTGCGATATCCCCGATATCTTTCGTAATCCTTGGCCAATAGCAAATACTTTCAGCCGGAATCGAAATGTGCTACATGCAATGACCTATTAACACAGATAGACAGAACATCCCATTGATAAAATAGCTTTGTTTTGGTTGACTACATGTTTATGGGCCAGGGGGGGGGGGGTGAGCTGTGAAAGCGGCTAGGAGTAGGGATTCAAAGGGCAGTTACACACGGACGTGGATGTCTGAAAACATGTACGCACATACATGAACGCGCAAACAAAAACATCAATGTGTATGCAAAATACCGTCGCGTTTTTGAATGTGCAAATAACTGTAGAATGACTCTCAAATGAATTCTGGAATCGCTAGAAATTTTGTATGCACACTCGGAATACTGTAGCAAGAATAGCAAGACTGACAAATTTGTGCGAGCGTCTGTACAAAGATGACGTGCACGTTGATGTATGCACGTATATGTATCAAGCCATCCACGTCCGTGTGTAACCGCCTAAATGATTCCGCTAACTCCGCCCCCACTTTACTATCGCATACTTGGAAACTCTGAACATTAAACCAGAATCAGTGCTACAAAAGTGTTTTTCTGAGATTGACAAAAAATGTCAGCATTTTTGACCGGTTGACAGGTCGCAAAACCCAATATTCTGGTATTTTAATTATGTTTGTTTATGTTTATGTGTAGTTGCTAAGGAATCAATTAATAACAATACGAGAATCACTTTTCCGACCTAGGCAGGGAAAGTGATTCTCGTACTGCTGAACAATTGGATCAAAAATACAAACGTTTAACAGATATTTAACCGATCTCAGAAAAAATAGTATGTGTATTTCGGTAGAAAAGCACATTCTCGGCCGACGGCCGAATGTGTCACTTTTCCACCTAAATACACAATATACTAATCCTTATCCTTATATTTTACATAATTTTAGAAAAAGATGCGGATACACCCACTGCGCACTGATTGACAAATGGAAATTGTCATAAAATACCTGTAGGTCGCATTTTGACATGACAATAGGCATGATGACAGTAATTGAAAATCAGTTAAATTATGTTTTTATTTGATGAAACTTGATTCATGGAATACGAAACAGGCATTTATTTTTTTATTAAGAGCCAGATTAATAATTATTTTGATAAAATGAAACTACAAAATACGGAGGTCCGCCATATTATGTTAAACACCAATCAGAACGAATGACGTCACTTTTGAGTAAACCAGCAAACAAACGACTGGTTCCCCGTGATATTCTTGTGATTCTATTTGCGGTTCAATTTTGTTTATACCGTGTGTTGTTTATACCGAATATTGAATCAAAAGTGAAATAACGTCATGGAACAAGGATTTACTAAGGTAAACAGTGTTAATTTGTGATGATGCTGGGAGAGTTTTCACCATAAAATAAAGACTTTTGTTCAGCAGAAAAGAATCAAGAAATGGTAAAACTTCCATCTAAGTATATTATTAATACAATAATATTTAAAAATCATTATAATTTAGGTGATAAAATAAATCCAAAAAATAAAATACCTATAAGAAAGCGGTGATGCAAGGGGAAACCTAACCTCAAAAAAGATTATTTTTACATTGAATTTAGACCTCAAACAAGATACATACAATAGTATATTATGCAATGATCATGTAATGATAGCCATTAATACACGAGCATGTTGTAGGATACGAAACGAGCCGCAGGCGAGTTTCGTATATAACATGCGAGTGTATTAATGGCCATTACATGAGAGTTGCATACACTATTTTTTCTACTGCCATTGACTTTGCTCAGCAGTATTGCAAGCCTCACTACGTTCGGCCTGCAAACCTACCGCTTCAGCACAAAAAAGTAAAGCTTCTACTCCTAATAAAACAATATACTATTATTTCAAAAGTCTTGTCTACAAACCACTGTCAACGGCTGTCAACCATTGTTTTCATGCTCTTTTGGCATCTGACAGTTTGATAGGTACCAGAGAGAGAGGCTTTTAAATTGAAAAGGTCAATAAACGCAGCAAACGAACTCCTGCTGACGCAGTGCTATTTTTATGTTATTTACGTGTGTTGAAGTTTGCTTTTTGTGAAAATTGTGGCAATGGATGAAGAATATTGTGAAAGACTGCTTTCGTGAATTTAATTTCATTTGCAAGTTCCCTATTGATAAGTTTGTTTACAAAATCTTGGCGTGAAAAAAGGTAGCCATCATGAAAGCATTGTTTTGGCGGAAAATTTTATATTTCAAATTTTGTGTTATTTTTTGTGTAACAAGGGCGATATCAGTTAAATGAAAACTGGTCATATAAATATTATGCAGTATAAACTATCGATTTAAAACAAATTTGGACAAAAGTTCACTTGCAAGTTCCCTATTCAAAATACAAATATGGATACATCGTAGAAAGATCGAAACTATTTATTCGTTCATTCGTTATGATGAATTTCCATTATGTAACACCAATTTTATTATATTGGAACAAAACAGATTATGTTAAAACACTTTATTCCTTAAAGTTACATTTCTCTATGTAAAAATGTCATTTTAAGGGATACTTATCGCTAGCTTCCTTAAAATAATCGGTGCAAACGGCCATTACAGACGAACAACGAACATTATACTTACAATATACATTTTTATCCGGCCTTACGGCAGTTAAAAATTAATAAGATTTTACTATTTGCCTAGGGATTTAACATTTGCCTAAACGTGGCAACCGTCATTTAACAAATGCCGCGTTTGGATTCAGGCAGATGCTATTTAAACTAGGCAATTAACAACAGGAATTTACGAGTATCAATTATTGGTTATTTGCCTAATGCATTCACCTACCATTTGTCCTTGTCCAGGTCCACGTTCGTCATTTGACAAATGTCTAACTTCAACAGCCATGTGTTAGGTGTAAATAATGATCAGCTTTGGGCCCGATTTTTAGGGTAACCGTGTGTAGATGGAAAGTCAGGGGTCCTTCAAATAATTTGTCTCAGAATAATCGTTATGGGGTCTTTTGGACGATTGGTGGACAAATTAAGTATTCCACATTTTACTCTGCCCTTATCCCTTATTATATGCTCTCGGCACATAAAATAACGATTCAAATATTATTTGCAGATATTTCCACAACATCATCAAGCGCAGTTACTAGCTTTGATCGTATTTTGACCACCACATTGATTATGACAAATGGATATTCAAATATCACAACTAGCGATTCCAATAGTACGACCGAAAGTAGTACGACCGAAAATAGTACGACCGGAAGTAGTACGACCGAAAGTAGTACGACCGGAAGTAATACGACCGAAAGTAGTACGACCGAAAGTAGTACGATCTTTCCTACTTCTAGCACCACCATTTCAACTACAACCAAAATATTGTGTGGTAGGTAAGATCTAATATTAATTAAGAATTATCCTCATAATAAACTAACCAAACAAGAAATGTAGTTAATAAAAAGTCTAAACTTCCAAGAGCCAATAAAACAATAGGCACTAGACATATTGGCTATATTGCTCCTAGATTGTACAACATTATCCCAGATTATGTGAAAGGTGAAAGAAAAATTCAAAAATTTAAAAAGGAATTTAAAAACTGGATTAAAGGTGCAAATGACCTTATTAAAAATATAATCTAAGTGACTTGAAAAAAGTGTTCTGATGTGGCAAATATATTCTCGAATGTGACTTAAAAAACTCGAAATTGACGTTATCCTCGATTAAGACATTTTTACCGATTAAGACTTAAAACTGTGAAGTATTCCTTCACAAACAACCTTCTCACAACAAGTGTGTAACACTTCAAACGTGAGCCTGTTTATTGCCATTTACATGAAAGAAAGAAAGAAAGAATTTGCTTTATTGTCAGAAAATTTTACAATTTTGTGGAAAAAATAAAAAACAAAACATACAAATGCAAAAGCACAGACAAAACCAAACACTTGAACAAATAGTTCATGGTCAAAATTTGATTAAAACTAATAAACAAACATCTAGGTCTAACTGCTTATACTGTGCGAGTAAGCATATTATAGGTACTAAAAAAACAAACAAACAATAACTTATAATAACCTATCATGATACAGGAACAAAAACAAAACCTGTGAGTAAGCTGCTCAAAATTTAGAATTAGGAAACCATAAACAACTCGCTTACTGTGTACAAGGCTCTCCCCAGTAAATACACCTTCAACGCCCTGCGAAATTCGAGAAAAGATGCAATGGACCTGATGTTAGGCGGTAGATGATTATGCATCTTTTTAGCATTATAAAGTATTGAACTTTTAACTAACTCTGAGCGCGGGATTGGCAGATAAAGATCCAACTCTGCGTTCCTCAGTGGATAATTGTGAGATGGCCTCTCTGAGATAGCTGATATTAAGTGCTTACGAATTAAGCAGACGGATTCGAAAATAAATAAAGATGGAAGAGTCAATATACTAGACTTTATAAAAAATTCCCGGCAGTGAGTTCTACTACCAAGTCCCAAAGAATAACGAAGAGCTCTCTTCTGCAGTCTAAAAATGCGTTCAAATTGAGACGCACAACACGTGCCCCAGAATGGAAGGGCCGTAACGTAAATGCGACTCAAAAAGAGCATAATATACCATCCTGCAAGTTGCCGAGTTAAGCTCCCTGGAAACAGATCTCAGTGCAAAACAGGCCGAACTTAATTTCTTTGCTAAGGCGTCGATATGCAGGTCCCACTTTAGAGATTTATCAACAACAAGCCCCAGGAATTTCACGGAATCAACGGCCTCCATGGTATTGTTATCCATTACTACAGATTGAAGCGAAGCTCTGTAAGATAAAACTTTGGTTTTAGAGAGGTTGAGGCACAGGAGATTTGAGTCACACCATGATTTGATGGTAATTAAGTCACTAGATACGGTTCTATGGAGTTCCGTAATATCCGGGTTGCTCCAAGTGAAACTAGTATCGTCTGCGAAGAGACAAACTTTGCCGCTAATATCCAGACTAGCAATGTCGTTAATAAATAGCAGGAACAAAATAGGGCCAAGAACTGAACCCTGAGGCACACCACATTCAATTGGTTTACAAGAGGACATGGTCGAGTCCACCCTCACAAGCTGACCTCTGTTACCAAGATAAGACTTAAACCATTCGAGAGCCATTCCTCTGAAACCGTAGAACTGTAATTTGTTAATTAAGATATTATAATTAACACAGTCGAAAGCTTTGGAGAAATCACAGAAAATTGAGGCTGTAGAGTGGTGGCAGTTCAGGCTGGAGTATACATTATTGAAAAGGGAAAACATTGCATCATTAGTACATTTGTTACTTAGGAAACCGAATTGACTGGTAGTTAGAATATTATAGAGAGAAATGATAGAAGCCTCTTTTTAACCAATCTTTCTATGATCTTTGATAGCGTAGGAAGGAGTGCAATGGGGCGATAGTTTGAAGGTACCTCCCTTATGCAGTGGGGTAATTATCGCCATCTTAAGACAGTTTGGAAAAGCTCCATTTAGAAACGACTTGTTGATCAGAGTTGTAAGATGTTTTAATGTGCAATCAGGAAGATTAGAGAACATTTTGAGGGTGAGTCCATCAGTCCTAGATGAAGATTTGTTTTTAATATCTTTGATTGTACTGCGAAGCTCTGGAACTACTACAGGCGTGAAGAAGAAACTGTGTAAGTTCACCTTAGCATTCGGGAGATATGAAAGTGGGTCCTGGGAAGGAGTTAAGGTATTCACTAAATTCTTAGCCACATCAACAAAGTAATCGTTAAGGATCTCAGGTGAAGTAGGAATTTTGCTAGATGAAGAAGCCTTATTCCTCAAGTCATTAACAATTGACCATGTTTCTTTTGCAACATTTTTGGAGTTTGCCAGCCTCCTATTATAATAAATGTCTTTGGCGGCTTTTATGGTTTTCTGATCGACTTTTCGGTATAATTTTACGGAATCATTGAAGAAGACGCTATCCGAGAATTTTTTTAGATGAGACAAGGATCGCATATTTTTTCCAGAAGTACGCAAGCCACTAGTGGACCATGGTTTATGCCGTTTGACTTTGATGGGTCTGAGAGGAAAGGATTTAGTCGCCAGGTCAGATAGGGTATTTATGAATCTAGAGAACTCGGAGTCAACATCATCTGAGTGGACGACCCAGTCAACTGATAAGCAAAGTTGACTGAAATTTAAAAAATTTCCATCCGAAAATACTCTGCCCAATTTGCGGGAAGCACCCTTACGTAAGGAATTCAATGAGAAATTCGTTAAAACTGCTTCGTGGTCAGAAAACCCTGCACTAAAAATAGAAGAGTTGACCAATTCTGGATGAAAAGATGAAGCGACATAGTCAATGGTAGTAGAACTAGTTTTGGTTATTTTGGTTGGAGAGTTTACATGCATCACAATCCCAAAGGAGTCGAAAATGGACTGGAGAGATTCTCGCACACACAGGAAAAATTTATATTATAGTCACCACATAAAATTATTTTGCAATTCAAGGGCAAGGAGTCAAGCAAGCTCAGCAAATTCCGACAAAACATGTGCGCGTCTGTGTCCGGTGATCGATATAAACAAACAATATAAAGGTCAAAGCCACTATGATAGACGATGGAAAATTCAAATATTTTTTCCGATAATAAATTATCAAACTTGGTTATTGCCGTAAAGTCATTATTAGTGGACATTATCATAGTGCCTCCGTGAGATAAATTACTTCGATTAAATCTAGCTATTGAGGTGTAATTTTTGACAAACACAGGTTCATCTATATTTAACCAGTGTTCAGTAATGGCGATGATTTCTGGAAAATTAAGCTCTTCTAATAAAAGAAATAATTCATCTGTTTTGTGTCTTAAGGACTGAATATTAATAAGAAATACACTAAGCTTGCCATCGTCCAACCTTACAGAGGGTGCTTGATCCTCTGGTCGCGTCACCTTATCTAAATTTTTTTATTATTACGTGGAGAGCCACTAGAGAAATATTTGCTCTGACTTTCCCTAATATTCTGTAACCGGAGAAGTTTCTCGGACGAGAAGTAAGACCTGAAGGCGGAGAGATCAGCGTCAACTTCAGCCAGACCAATGCCATATGCGTTGTGGAAACGGAAATATAACTTCCGCAATGAGTCCAAGTCACTAGGAAGTCCCTCCGAAGCTAACATTAAATTGATGCTGGTGTTAGTGTGCCCATCAAAACACACGGTGGATGGTTGGTCATGGAGATAAGTCAGGAATAGCCTAAGAGCTTTAAGAATGGCAGGGTCTCTTAGTCTAGCCAATAAATATCGACCATCAGCTGTATCGGAAGCTCGCGATAATCGCACAATGGGTGGAGTCATCGGGTCCATGATTGATTCATCTTTTTTTCTACTTGTATCCATAACAATTTTTGTGCTAGTCTAGTGCCAGAGACTTAGAAACAGCTATAGCCTCCCTGTCAGAACCAATCCTGATAGTTTTATCATCCTTAGTCGGGTTAATCGGGGTTGAGTCAGAGTTTAGTGGTCTACTTCGGCCCTCCGCAGTGTTGGGTTTGAAATGGTGATGAGACTGATGCTGTGGATCTACTGTAATTGCTGCCGACGGTGGCGATGCCTTTAAAAGTGTTGCAGATGAATTAGAAGTCTCTATACCAGTACCTGGAGGCCACATGCTTCTGTCCAAAAGCTGCTTTAGGTGATTTTTGTTTTGAACACCAACTTTGAAATCAGTGTGAGAGCAGTCTTTATTTTGGAGCATTGGAAAGCATCTGATAAACTCCGTGGTTCCAAGTTTTTTCTTTACAAAATGAGCAAGCTGTTTTGCTGTAAAAGGATGGGGGATTTTTGACACTACCACATAATGCCAGTTTTCTTTTAGGGCGGAATTCTGAGGTGGGGGACAGACTCGGGAATCAATGACCACTTGCGTAACAGGGGATGTCTTTTCACTATCGGTCTGGGTTGAAATCGACGCTGTAATTGACTTTTTTACAGGTGGCGGGCTGCTCCTAGTAGACGGTTTCTCTTTGCCTGCTAACTTTTCCAACGTGAGCGCCATTTGGTTGACACATTTCCTCAAATCTGCCATTTCTCTTGTTAACTCTTCTTTTGAAGAGTCATGTACCTGAACCCTTATAGACTCATCATGACCGTCCATGAAGATCGACGAAATGTTGCACAAGTCTCGTTTCATTTCCCTAATTGAATGGAATAGAGATTGTTGTCCACTCTCAGAGTACTCAGAATGGTGGTTGTGTATGTCATCCACTTTCTTGGATAAGTCGCTCCACCTGGAATCATGAGCGCTTAAGGTGTCGTAGATTTCCGAAATGACCGGATGAAGTTTTTCACTGTTCTTAAGACATGCACCCAGAGCCTCTACAATTTCCAGAGGGATTTGGCCTTTCTGTAGCTGAGACACTTT